CTTTCCGGTCTGGTTACTACCGTTTATGTCAGAACCGGTGCCATCATGGCACCGGATACCGGTACCCATCCCTAATTCTTAATTAGTGGTTCAGAGTGCACATTGAGTATATTTTCTAGGATGTACTACATTTATTTTGAGTGAAAAGCATCAATTGTCACACAATGCAATATCCCGTGTTATCTAAAACATGTAAACATAACATAAATCCTTATTTAAATATATTTTACTGAAAGAACTTTCCAGAGCCGTAGCACCCTTCTTCCTATAAGGTGACAGGGCAAACCACTGCACCGCCATGTCAACCTATTTTATTATTACGTGTCAAGGTACTTTCTGACCTCTGTATGACCTCTTTTTCTCATGTGCACCATATACAGTCCCTATCAAAAGTTTAAGACCACTTAAAAATGGCAAAATATCATATTTTGCATGGTTGGATCTTAACAGGGTAACCTTGATGACAACCATGACAAGCAGATCCCACTTGAAATGTTTTCTACGTGACACAGTGGAGGGGGCGCCATAATGGTCTGGGGTGCTTTTTCTTTCAGTGGAACAATGGAGCTTCAGGAGGTGCAGGGGCGTCAAACGGCCGCTGGCTATGTGCACATGTTGCAGAAAGCATCCCTCATGACTGAAGGCCCTCGTCTGTGTGGTACCGACTGGGTTTTTCAACAGCATAATGCTACAGTACACACTGCCCACAGGACAAGGAGCTTCTTCTGGGAGAATAACATCCTACGTGTTCCCCTGATCTAAATCCAATTGAGAACCTTTGGGGATGGATGGGAAGGGTAGTTTTTACAAAAATGGACAACAGTTGCAGACAGTAGATGCCTTTTGTGTCGCCACTTCACCACTTGGAGAAATGTTCCCACTCTCATCGTGGAAACGCTTGCATCAACCATGCCGCAAACGAATTTTTGAAGTAATCAACAATAACAGTAGAGCTACTCATTACTGAGTTTATCTTTGGAACTTTGATTTCTGTTTTGGTAGGATTTACTGGGGTTTTTTGGAAGTGCGGTCCTAAACCTTTGATCAGCTGTAGAAAAAGCCTGTTTCAGTTCAATAAATTGTATGCTCAAAAAATGTTTTGTCTCACTTCTATTTCCTCTTGTTGCATGTTGAAGCTCTATTTGGAACTTTGTTAAGATCCAACCATGCAAAATAGGGGTTTTTTTGTTGCCATTTTTCAAGTGGTCTTAAAGTTTTGATGGGGACTGTATGATCAGTCCTATGCTGTTTTAGTAATCGAAGAGTCCCCCATGACCTCTGAAATACCATCAGATGCCTGTCTCTATGGAAACCTGGGCAAATGTGGTGGGATCACAGACAGTTCTCATGACTGAATCAAGCTCCTCCTTCGACTCTGTCACCCCTGGTCCATAGGAAAAAATAAATAAAAACACACAGAGAAATAGCATGTACAGTTTCACACTTTCAGTACTTCTCAACAATCAACATTTTCCATGATTTGACTGGTGAATCTAAATTGAACAGATAGGGGTCAGATTTGTCCTGGAACAGCCTTAATGTATTTGTAGCACCTGAACAAAAGCAGAAAACATTTAAATTAGTGTACTGTTGTGTATTTTGGGGTCACTTCAGAAAAACTTCAGGCTAAAAGGCTATTCATTTATGTAGTTATTTAAAAAAAATCACATTAAAAGATTGAGACATCAAACCTTTTAAAACCATCAATGCACTGAGCATCTTTGATAGTGTGCAATCTCATACATCACCACTGGAGTGCACTCGCATAGTGGGGAAGAGCCATCACAGGATGTTTGCAGCAATCAAAGGTGTTTTCTTGAGTTACAAAAAAGAAAAAAAGAATCACCAGACGTGAAATGTGAACTGAACTGATCAGAGTAAGATCTGACCCATCAATGATGCATTGAGGCCTCTGCACAATAATATTTTACAGTTTACATTCCTGATATAGTTTTAGGGTCCTTCCTTTTGTCGAGCAGAATATCCAATACTACTGGGTTTACTTACCTGTACTTCTGAGCACACTGCTTAGAAAATGGGCACACTAAATTGTCATGTTGTTCCTGTTTGTAATATTACGTTATGATGCAAAATCTATGTGATTTAACACGTAAACACATTTAAGTATGCATTGTTTTCCTCAAAGCCAAATGCTGTGAATGCACATGCATTTTCAAGAAAAATTAGAAAATATCACTATCTAAGCTGTGCTTGTTTTTCTATGAAAATCGTTGTGTTTTTTTTTTTATTATCCTAGTCTCATGTAATGCGATGAAAAGGGATAGTAACCTCAGAGGGCTTCAACTATCTCTTTATACGGTCTGTGCATCCCACTCTGAGAGAAGTGTCAGGCAGGATGAGTCATAGCAGTCAGACATATACAACCCCCTGACATCTATTCAGTAACAGGAGGACATTATTAGGGTGATTAATGCGTGCATAGCAAAGTATATGTATGTACGTGTCAACAGCAGTTTCTTCTGTGCCTTGGAAATCGTCCTTATCTTTTGTTAGATTAAAGAGACTATCCTAAAAATGTCTTGCAAACACAATATATTATATAATAATGTCCAACACACAGGATTAATTAATTCCAGACTGTTTTGTTCACTTTATTACTTCTGAGAGGACAAATATTTCCCAAAGCTCATTCAGCTAGAAAAGGTGGTCCAAGTTCAGTTAGACAATGAGCAAGAGCTACAAAGACATCTGAAATCCCAGATGAACCTCCAAACATTCTGATGCCCGTACATGGACACAAATTAAGCAGGCAACACTTTATCAGCATCAGAACACACAGTTTCTGTTTTAGAAAGGTGAACAACAGCATGCCTCTGCTCATTATTAGTTACTTACACTGGGAATCATTATTTGAGGCCCACTGTGGTTTTAATGTTTATAGAGATCTGAGCAATGGACTTAAAATACAAAAGACACCAGTGCCTGTGTTTTCCAAGTCGCAAAATCAAACTTGTACTTGCACAGATTGAGGTGGCGAGTAAGTGCAGTGGTTCTGAATTTGAAGCCACTTGTTTGCCTGTTATCCCTGTTCTTGTGTGGGGTTTCTGTGGGTGCTAAATTGGCCAAAGGTGTGAAGAATTGCCTGGCTCTCTGTGTCAGTGTTTCTGTGGTCCACTGGACTGTCCTGCCTCTTACCCAGTTTCCTGGGATAGTCTGCAGCCAATCCTATAAGCCTGAATTTTGTAAAAAGTTAAGACATTAATAATACAGATTCTTTTCTTTGAACAAACCTGATGGAAAAATATCATTGCTTGGGTTTGCGATAGGTTTTATATTAAACTAACTCTAGTACAATATAACATTGGCAATATTTATGTTAACGTTTTATTATTTTTTTATATTGTCAGTTCCATTTTCAAATAAAACAAATAAAAGAGAAAATAATAACAATGAGTTACTTGTTTTATTATCTTATGACAGAGCTGTGGCAGCTGCTGCATTAAATGTCTCCTTTTCATTTATCCGAGCAAAATCTCTCAATTCAAATTGCCAAAATGAGGAAATAGGACCAGGATCTCCTATTGTATTTTATAGTAGAGCATTCTCAAGAGAGAAATCTCAGGATGTTGCTCGAAGATTTCATGCATCTGCTACTGATTTACTTTGCCCTCTCTCTGTGAGTCAACACAGAAGGATAGACTCAGTCTGAGTATGGTCAAGTCCATTCACTGCTGGATATTGAGTATAATGACACCTGGCAACATCCTCAGGCAGTCAAGGTTTCCGTCTTTATCAGGGGCATCAAACAACATTCGTTCCATCTAATCTGACAATAATGTCCCTCACATTATATTAATAATACAGAAACCAGTAACATTGTTATTGTTTTTTTTTCCTTGGGCTGTATTAATAAATATTTTCAAAAGATGTAGAGGCTAACAAGTCAGTTCTCCGAGGACAATGAGTAAAGCATGCTGGGAGTACTTAGTATCATGAAC